CACCCGGCTGCTGCACGTGGGAACCGGGGCCAAACTCTCCCGGCAGGCTGCTCAGTCCCCGCCTCCAGCAAAGCGCGGGGATTACAAGGTCCGGCATCCTCTGCGGCAGCAGCCCCCCCCCCGCGCTCTCTCTCCCTCCCTCCCTCCGCCGACAGAGGGGACCAGGAGGAGGAGGAGGTGGTGAGCTGGCTGGACGAGCACAGGCTCTGAGAAAAAAAAAACCTCCGCTTTCAAACCGGGAAGAGGGATGGGTTTTGTTTTTGCAAGCATCACAAGCCCCGGGGGAGGCTGAGACTCCCCCGGGAAATTTCGGAGGTAGCCCCCGCCCCTGCGCCCCCCTGAACTCTACGCCTATGGTTAACAGTCATAAATGTATTGCGTCATCTGTTTGCAATGCACAGGTTGCCAGACACCCTGATGTCTGACAACGGGACATGCTTTACCGCCACTGAGTTTAAGGAAATTTTGGCGGCAAACCTAATAGCCCATAGCATGTCCGCACCATTCCACCCGGCAACCAACAGGCAATCCGAAAGGATGGTGCAGACCACTAAGGAGACTTTGGGCTGCTTGGTGCAAGGAAACTGGGGCCAGAAGGTGGCGTCTTTCCTCCTACACCAACACGTCACACCACACTCCGTGACGGGGTGGAGTCCAGCTGAGTTGCTGATGGGTCAGTGCCTAACCACGCTGTTAGATCGCAGGCACCTGGACTTAACCTCTGCCAGGCCGCCAAACAGTGAGTCCACTGACCAACCCCGGGTGTTTATTGAAGGGGGAAGTGTTTATGCGAGGAACTACGGTAGCGGGCACAAATGGTTACCAGCCACAGTAACTCATGTCCTAGGATTCCGCCATTACACTGTGAAGGTTTCTGATAGTAGAGTAATGAAGCACCATGTCGATCAGTTGCGCAAACGGTGGGCTGACACGGTCCCTGATTCCCTTCCCCAGGTGGCCGACGTACCTGACTCGGACAGTCAGGTAGAGTCTCCGGACTCCGAACAGCCTGAGGGTTTCCAAGCACTGGAACCCCCAGGCATAGTCGAGGGCGAGCAGTGCCACGACTATGGGAATTGGCCACGAACACTCAGTCCCATTAGGGATCAAACCGAACTCACTCACAGGGAGCCTGAAGTCTTTCCTCCTACCCCTCCAACGGTAAATGTAAGACGATCCCAACGGGTCAAGCAAGGTATTGTAAACCGACCTATCAGAACAAGGGAAGTTCTGGAGGGAAGCAAAGTGATTGGTCTTTATGTACAGTTTCTGATTGGATCTTATCTGACATGTGGGCGTGGCTTGCCAAGCCCGGACTGTTTAAAAAGGAGCCTGTTGCTCCATTGTTTGTCTCATTCTGGCTCTTCTGACTTCGTGTTCAGTAAAGCTGTTATCACTGTTCACCTGCTGCCTCGAGTCTCGTATCTAACAGAAAGGGAGTCAGTTGATGGAGAAGGGGTGGGGGCAAAAGGGAGAAGGGTTAAATTAACAGATAAAAGGAGGGGGAGAAAGGAGAGAAATAAGGGGTAGGTTTACAGAGAATGGGAGGGGAAAATAGGGGGCAGGTTGACAGAGAAGGAGAGGGTTAGATTGACGAAGAAGGAGTGAGGGCAAAAGAAATGGGGTAGGCTGATGGGTAAGGGAAGGTGGAGAAAGAGGTGGGAGATTGTCAGAAGGGGAGGGGAAAAGAGAGGGGGGAAGATTGACAGGAGGGGAGGGGATGAGAAAGGGAGAAGATTGTTAGAGAAGGGGGAAGAGGGAAGGAAGCAAAGTGAGGGGATGTACTCCCCCAAGTTTCTTGCAGGTCCCCACGTATTTAATGATCCTCACATTATGAACATAACATTGAAAATGTTTAAAACAACTTGCAGGGCTGCTTTTGACAAGTGTTTTACAAAAGATGTTCTGCTTTTAAAATCAGATCTCAGTAGAAGGCTTCAAGAACATTGCTAAAAGCTGCAGCAGGATCCAATACCTCACAATTAATGAAATGCCTACTCTGACAGACAGATGTATTCAAGTAAGACGTTCCTTCCAAACTGGTGTTTGTAGAAGATATATTCCTTTAAATTTCATTAATCAACTATTCTAAAACCAGTTTCAGAATTAGCCATGAAATTAGCCTCTCTGAGGGCTGTCTGCTTTCTAAGGAACCTGCCAAAAATTGTGGTGCTTTTTTAAAAAACCAGTCCCCCTTAAATGTTGTGTCCCTGAAAGTGACAGGTTGGGTGGGCACTGAATGGATCCACCTCCCTTTTCCACCCATTGCACAAGAAGGAAGGAAAGAAGCAACACAGATGCTGCTCCCTCAGTAAAAAAGACCAAGCTTCCCCTCTCTCCACTGGCATCATTTAGGATGTTCATTGATGGGAGGGAGGGCAGAACCCAGTCTTCCCACTCAAAGAGTATGTGGATGTTTTTTTTTTTTTTAATTTCCTTGGGTTTTATTATTACTAAAGATATTACCTGGGAGCACAAAGAGTGGGATCAGTTTTGAATCCCCCCTCCCCCCGATTCTCTAAGTTCTTTCAAGGGCTTGAGCATGTTGATTTCTTCTCCTGTCCCCCCTTTTAAATGACACTCAGTCCTCATTAGGTCTATAGGGGCAGGGGTATTTTTGTTTAATTTCCAAAGTAATTTTTTTCTGCATACCTGGGAAGTTCCCAGAATAGGTGGCAACACTTTTGTTATCTAAGTATCCACATTTTGCTGCTTTCATTACAGACAAGGGGGCCTGCCAATGAGATATAGTGATTTTATGTTGTATAAAATATGATGTTGATTCCAATTCTGTTTGTTTTCCTTTTCTCCTAAAGGCATTAGTGGGGAAGTGTCAAAAGATTATATCTATTGAATTTAATGAGGCCCCACATGTTTCTGACATAGCCTTTAAAGCACTTGCTGAATGTCAGCTTGTCAAGATCAAGATAGAAGGTTAGTGATGACAGGATAGGATATCCAGTAGACATTGTTTCTTGTCCAGTGTGAACCTAATGACTGTTACATTGTCTGAACAGGGAGTAATCGGATTACTGACCTAAGTTTCAAGATGATGAGCAAACACTGGCCCTGCTTAGATCGCATTTGTATGACTGACTGCCAGAAGATAACTGATACCGGACTCAAACTAATTGCACCACTGGCTAATATTGCTGTGTTGAATTTATCAGATTGCATGAGGTATTAACCTTTGTTGATTTGTCTGTGACCTATTCATTTTAGTGACTTTATTTCTATCAGTATTCAAGTATGTAGACAGGATTATAGCCTCTTTACAAACAAAAGGCTTCAACAGCCTGAATCATCACCTGCAAGTATGCTTAAAAACAGAACACTGTGCCTGCAAATAAACAAATAGAGCAGATGTAAGGATAACTGCACCATTTTACTTGCCAGCCCAACCTGTACCTTGCATATTGCATCAACTCAGCAGGGAATCAGTATTATGTCCTTCGTAACATATTCCTTTGCCAGATGCAATACAGATACTGTGCAAAGTGAGTGAAATAGGGTGAGATGGGCCATGGCTTGGGAAGGCCATCTGGTCGAAGTAGCCCATTCATCCTTGAATGAAATAGTGACTTTGTGAGATTTTACCCTGCTTAGCCTGGGAACTAAGCAGGGTTGGCCATGGTCAGTACTTGAATGGGTGACTGACCACTGAGAAAGATAGGATGCCATGTAGTTCCTCTACAATGGCAATGGTAAACCACTTCTGATAATCTCTTGCTTGGAAAACCCCATGGATAGGGTCGCCATGAGTCAGATGCAGTTCAATGGCATGTTTTTATGAGATTTCAGTTGGCATGCAGCGATCCAGGTTGTATGTGCTTTTCTTGACCTGCATTGGCTTCTGATGTAGCTCCACTTGTGTACAGGATGCATTTTTTGGTAATTGGTATTCGACAGCTCTAAAAAGAAAATTAGGCTCTCCAAGAAAACTTTATTGGCTATTGTTTTATATGCAATCTGTGACTTCAGGCAAGTGTTATACTCTACTTGGATCATGAGCAGGGTGGCTGGCAGTAGGTTAGCCAGTTGGCAGTACAGTCTTTTGGATGTGCCTGATTGTCCTCAAGGCAAAATGAGGTTGCTTATAACAATTTAGGGCAATTGCTATGAGGCCAGCATTGTTCATTTTCATTCCCTGATGTTATTGGCCACCTGCAGGCTATCATGTATATAAATCTTCCTTTTTTTAAAAATAAATAAAATTATTTTATTTTCTACATACATCCTACAAAACTACTCACTAACTAAAATTACAGCTAAACGATGACCGTATATGCTAATAATTGATATCTTAAGTCAAAGCTTTTCTCTTATTCAAATTAAGAATAAAAATTCTACTCTTTTGTTTCGATATGCAAAAAAATTAAATTATTGACAATGCAAGATTATATAATGTAGTATAAACATTTCTTCTAAAGTTTAAGCTATTTTCTTCCTTTCCTTCCTATTTTCTCTTTTATCGTCTCGGGGTGGTTTGAGTGCTGCCGCTCCCAATTCTGATTCTGATTCTACTTCTGAGCTGCCATCTGCAGATGTTTCATGACTTTCCAAGCCATGCGAACTGTCCAGTTCTCCTTCTTCTTCCTCTGTGTTCTTTGTATCCTTTTTGGGTTCCTGATATCTTTTCAAAAACTGCTTCACTTAAGTAAAAGAGTCAATCTTTTGTTCTTTGCCTTTGTAGTTGAACATTAAGACTTCAGGTAGTATCCATCGGTAGGTAGTGGTATTTTCCCGTAGATAGGTGGCTAAATTCTTATATTGTTTTCTCTTCTTCCTTATCTCAAATGGAATGTCTTTTAGTATTCTGATGTCTTCTTCTTTGATTTTCAGTGTAGTCCCAGATGTTGCTTTCAATATTGCATCTCTTATAGATCTCTTAGAGAAACAGACATATAAACACCACCACTGTTTGCGCCCTTTAATACTTTTAAATGTTTGCCGTTTTTGAGGGGTGGGTAGCTTCCCCCCCCCCCCACTTTTTCTTGGGGGCACCCAGGCTGGCATCTTACTCCACCAACACATATGAAGATTTTTCCATTTGTAGCTGCAAAAGTTGAGTTTTATCTGAAGATCTTTCTTTTTCCACAATTTCCAGTTTTTGGTCAATTGCTTTAGTCTTGTTTTAAACTGCCTCTGTTCTTTTGTTGGATTCTTTTAGCTCCAAGGTCATGCTGATGTTAGTCATCTAAGCCACCAGAGGTCGCAATGCAGTATCCAGCATGCCTACAGAGTCAAAGTTTACTTCCAGTTTAGAAACCGGACATGTTGAGCTGGCAGTTCCTTGTTGAAGTTTCGCTTTCGCCACCATCTTTTCAGCCTGATAAGACATTGTTTATGTTTTATAAAAGTTCGCTTAAGTCTTTAGAAGTTTATTTGCTCTAATACCTTAACAGTCTGGCATTGTACTGATTAAATTCAGCCGTCCGCTCAAATGCCGCCACTTTCTACCCCATTTAATGCTTTTAAATCTTTGCCGTTTTCGAGGGGTGCGTAGCTCCCCCCCCCACTTTTTCTTGGGGGCACCCAGGCTGGCATCTTACTCACACTCTGCTTCATCAGATAAGAGAAAGTATTTTTGTTTTCACTGGGTCAGTTGCTTGCTGGTCCAGTATGCTCATCTCATGCCAAAAATGGTTCTGCAGTGGCGGGGACCTGTAAGCGCAGGGGGGAGCTTCGATCCTTTGGCCTCTGCCTTGGGAGAGGCACCCCCAGCACCCCAGGCTGAGAGCCCTCTACAGGGGCTCTGGGGGGGGGTCCAGAGTCAGCCAGACCCCCTCCCCACCGCCAGATCACTAGCCACTCTCTCCGGAGCTTCAGAGGAGTGTGCCCGCCATCAACACACCGAAACCAGAAGTTCTATGTATATAAATCTTCCCATAAAAATTCTTATTATTACTTTCCTAAGAGCTGATTGGCATGATTTACTCCTATGATTTTTTTTGGTATTCCAATGAATACTGAATTGGGTTCAAGCTTTTGAAAGCCAATGTATGAAATTACCTTATACTGATTCAAACCATCTCCTCAGTTGTCTGCTCTGATTTAGAATAGATATTCAAGATCTAAAGCAGAGATCTTTTCAAGCCTATTTATCTGAGGTGTTTAACTGGAGAAGCCAGAATTTGAATCTGGGATGCTCTGCCACTGAGCCATGCCCCCTTTGTCTGTCTGTCTGTCAGTCTATCATCTATCTGTCAAAAACTATTAATAATAATAGTTTCCTATTGCTCATTTATGCTCACAGCTCTGTTAATATCATAATCCTTCATTTTAATTGAACTATTTAGGCACTGACTTGTCCAAAACCATCCAATGACATCTTATTTAAGTGATAGTTGGTTGGAGGAATGTAAAGCTCTGCCTCCAGCTCCTCCCCAGACAGAAACTGAACATTTGACTTTCAGTATGCAAAGCTTGTACACTAGTTCTGGTGCTGGTACCTCTCTTTGCTTTACATTGTGAGATTTCAATGTATAAGGGACCTTTTAAGTAATTCAGGAGTGCACTGCAGAGATCTTCTTTGGATGGAAAGAGGGACTTTGTTGTTCTATCGTAATGTCTTTTAAGAGATGGAGTCCTAAGTTGTAAATCAACTTATTTGCTTGTACTTCTACTGAAAATAGTCTGACTACTGTTAACTGAATTATTTCAAGGTTGAATTTGAATGTTTTAAAGTAACTACATGTTTTTATTTAAGTTGTCAGCTGCCTCTTTGACAATTGTAATCCTATTGTCTTTCAGCAATCTTAAATTTACTTGCCTGGAAGTAAGTCCCATTGAAAGTAATGGACTTCACTTCTCACCTGTCATAATTAGGATCATATTGTATGCAGTTTAGATAACAGATGGAAATTCATTTCTAAGTAATCTAAATGAAATTTTTTGTTTCAAACTATAATTAGGGACCAAAAAAATTCACAGGGTATATAGTTTCCCCTCCCTGGGAGATCTGCCATGGTAGCATTCACTTTCAAAACACAAAGATAAATGGTGACCACTGACCACTGTATATTTCAGTATCCAGTCATCTCACACACAGATATTAGTTATTGTTAGAAATATATGAATTATGAAAAAATCTAAATATATTTTATTTATGTTATAGAATCAGTGATGCAGGGTTAAAATCATTTGTTGAAGGTTTTGCTGGCTCAAAGATAAGAGAACTGACCTTGGCCAACTGTTCCAATATCACTGATGGCTCTCTCATCAAAATAGCTCAAAGGTAGGATCCAACAACATACTATTTGTTTGGTGATGCTTAGCTTTCTGATCTTTGCATTTCCAAGCCTTTCTGGTAGCTTCATCCATTTCTTGGTTGGGAGGGGCTTGGTAGATGCATTCTTCAAGGTCATCAGCACAAATGGTAATTCTCAAACAAGTCTTCCATTCTGAAAACATATAAGGAGAAAGAAGGACCATGCGTACCTTCCCCTCCACATACACAGGCTCTGGAGACTTCACCAAGATCTGTCTCTATCTCCAACACTGATCAGCTCTGTTCTAGCAAGCAAGCACACACTACACACCTATTTCTCGTCTCTTTGTTAAAATGCTAGCCAGAGGACCATCGTTTTGTTTTTGGTTGCTGAGAGGCAGATTTACCTCTTAATTGCCACCTATTGGAATTTGCTGGGCCCATAATCTGTTAGATTAACTGGTATAGTAAGACAGTAATCTCTATCTTATTTAGCAGAGTGTGCAAGGACTACATGCAGCAGTAGCTTCTTTGTTCTGTATGTGCTACCGAAGTTACACAGTTACATAGAGCCACTTGTCAGTTTCAAACTAATAAGAATCCTTTATTCAAGGAATTATATTCTAGATAGTTCAGGTTAAGAGACAGTAATAGAATCTAATCTAACTAGCTGGATGTATGCAGATACAGAATTCATCTGCATCCATGGTGCCAAAGACGGAGAGCAACATGCTTGTTTTGTGTGTGTGTGTGA